TACAAGGGAATCGAGCTACATACATTAGCCAAGCAGCCATCATCAGCAGCAACATCAGCAGCCAACAATAGCATCAGCCGTAACAACAGGCAAAGCAAACATCTACATAATCCCATCTACATAAATTAAGGAAAGTAGTAAGTAGGCAAATTTTTAATTTCCTTAAAAATTGAAATAATATAACTTTCATTTTCGTAAAAGTTATATTATTTCTAATAAACTGCAAACGGACATACATACGTATATACTTACATACATATATATATATAATTAAATAAAAGGCGTATTTTTTCTCGCCAAAAACCATTGCGGATATTTTCCTGCCGCCCAAAAATTTCACGTCGGCAATTTGCCGCTATTAAAATTTTGGCAGAAAAATTCCCTTTTCCGGAAAGCGGTATATCTCCACATACCGCCGATCTTATATATATATAAGTATATGTACATACAGTGACGAGCAAAACTGTAACATGGTGTAACACTTTTTATTTCAGCCACCGCTATCTTTCCAAGTTCTAACGACATTCATACTTTTGTTGTATATTCTTATCGGTACACCTGTACTTCCCCTCTTATAACGAATTTAAGTCAATCCAACAACAATAATAAAACCAGCAGACAAAAAAGTAAATTAAGGCATATGCTACAGTTTTGCACTTATATATTTTTAACAACTTTTTGACAATTTTCACGAAAAAAAAGAATTGTTAACACAATGTTCAGTATACTTTTGCATTTTTTAGTTCCTGGATGCAATTTGGCATACCTTATTTGTATCTCTGTGAAAATTCTGGAGGTATAGCCTCCCATGTATCCTTGGTTTGCTTTCATAGCTCATGTACTCCATTGGACGGACTTGCATACTCAGTAAGCCGCGCTTTTAGTTGATTTCGCAAATTTTCGACGAGATTCATATCCGCGGATTGTGGACGTCAAAATAGCAAATTTTTGCTTTTGCATTCAGTCTTTGCGAACATATGCAACAACCCCAAATTATTATTGACCGACTACTGTGATTCACAGTTTGCCTTACATGATGCGCTTAGGCTTAATTTGGGTCTTTGATCTAATACCATGCCCGGCCATCTGATTGAAAGCGATTAATTTAGTCTTGTCATACCAACTAACCTTCAATTAAATCTTAAAAATGTGTTTTTTTTATTGCATTCTGTAAGGCCTAACATATCCCAATAGGCAACGGTCCGGTTTTCGTGCGATCCGGCAAAATGCTACCACTCTCGCACATGAATTTTGATCAAAATTGTTTTTTCTTCCATTATTATGCCTTTGCGTTCAATTTGACAATTCTTCGCCTCGTTGGCTACTGATTTGCATTCAGTTTTAATACCTTAAGCGCTGCTGTAATAGTGGCTGCAGCGCTACTTGCTACTAAGCTCACAAGATATCGGACCGTAATATTTTTTGGCAGAATTCCTTTGTCCTTAATAACATTTTAGGCTATATTTCTCAGTCCTAACATTTTCATGTGGCGAGCTCCACAATTTTCGCCACTTTTCCCACGGCCCGCGTTTCCGCAGTTAATCTATTATTTACATCTATGTTTCCTGATTAATCATATTATCTACTGGTAATCACTTCTTCAATAAATTACAATACAGAAAAAAGTCATCTGACTTCCACCTAAGTAAAAGATAACTGTCAAATGCAAAACTTAGAGTGAGTGCAAAACTGTAACATTTGCCTTAATTTACACTTTTGGCTGCTGGTTTTATTATTGTTGTTGGATTGACTTCAAATCTTTATGAGAGAGGGGGTAAGGGCGTACCAATAAGAATATACTACAAAAGTATGAAAGTCGTTAGAACTTGGAAAGACAGTGGTGGCTGAAATAAAAAGTGTTACACCATGTTACAGTTTTGCTCGTCACTGTATATACAAATTCTGATATATACCCCAAAATAAATTCCGTTGCAGTTTATATGCCTACTGTGTCCCACTGTTCAAGAACAAAATATTAGCACATTAAAATCAAATAGGCTCCTCTGCTTACCAATTTTTGCCGTTGGTCGCATAGTTCGTTGAACTTGGCTAAACAAATTGCCGAACAACATAAGTACATATAAGCATTTTTACCAGTTGCATTTTCTGCAACTATTCGCTTAATAGCTAAGAGAGGCGCTGTTGTTCATCGGACAATACAGTCCACATATACCAAACGCACTCTAATTTTCGCGTTTTGAATACCCACTAAATTTGATGCGAAAAGCATCAAGTTGGCAACAGTGAATGTAAACAAAAGTATTTTATGACGTCAGCGATTGGATGGATGCTGTCAAATCGACGAAGAGAGGGTTAGCGGTCCGCGAATGGTGCGACCTTTATTTTCTGGATCGTGATATATACAGTGACGAACAAAACTGTAACATGGTGTAACACTTTTTATTTCAGCCACCGCTGTCTTTCCAAGTTCTAACGACTTTCATACTTTTGTTGTATATTCTTATTGGTACGCCCTTACCCCCTCTCTCATACATACATACGCACTATAATCAAAACAAAATTCTCTGTTGTTTTCGTTTCTTAACTCACCACTGCTGTGACAAAGCATAGCTTAGCCATATACTCGGCTTCATACGTAAATATTTGCACATACGTACATCTTTACATTGCACATATTCTGCACATTTGTACATACGTGCTAGCAAAGAATATTATCAGACGAATATTATCCATAACGCGATAATAAGTGAGTTCAAGATATTTAGATACATGCAACCCAGTAGGGAAAACTTCCAAATTGCATTTGTTTAGATAGTGATAAATAACCAATACTTTTTCAGTATTTAAATAACTATTTATATCAAATTAAATATTTATACATACGTATATTTCACCACGTATATAACAGTGAATAGTGTTTGTGATTTTTTTTCTCTTACTGAAATTTTTCAAATCCATATTCCGCGGATTTAGTTGGGACGCCCCGTTTTCCACGTTATAAAAAGTGCTGAACCACAAATTAAAGCAAATATAATTTCACGTAATTTGCAAGAAACAAAAACACAAACACCGCCACAAAATCTTAAATTTTTTTTCCTAATTCTCTGTGGCACGAAGTGCAATTTTTTTCTCGGTTGACACATATTTTTCTAATTTTTTTCGAACGTTATCTGGGTGGTACTCAGTAAAATTTGATTAACTCTTCTCTCAATTTTAATACGTTTGACCTTCCACGAGAGTTAAAATGCCACTTGGACACAGTCCACCAAAAATGTCTGAAATCGAGACAAGGTCAAAAAATGCTTCACAAGAAGCCACCGGTGGTAAGAGGGAACCCTCAACGCGCCCGAAATCTAAAACTTTTGACCCATCCGCTCAAAAGTTTATAGCGGAAAGTGACAGTATCATGAGATACTGTGCAAAATTCAGTGCTACACCAATCCAAGACCACACTGAATCATATCGTATGATAAAAGACAAATCACTAGACGATTGCTGGGCACGGCTTCAGTCCGCTTACGATTTGGTATTTTCAAAGCCAGATGACAGCCTACCCGAAAACCTTAAGAATTCGGTAGAAGGCAAGTTCTTCACTTGCCTTGAATTATATGAGGTGACCAAAGCTAAAATTGCCGATCAACTGTCGTTGATTAGAGCAATCGTCGCACCGAGTCCACCACCCCGCGTGGAACACACCTCGGCAGACGCAAACGTTTTTCTACAAGTCCCACCTTGTGACACGGAGACATTTTACGGCGGTTAGGAAGAATGACCTGCTTTTCGTGACATGTTCACAGCGGTGTACATCAACCACCCGAAGCTCTCCCGTGCTCAAAAATTGTATCACCTCCGATACAAAACCCAAGGAAAAGCCGGCTCCATCGTCAAGCAATACCCGCTCAGCGATGATAACTTCGAACTGGCCTGGGAAGCTTTACGGTCACGATACGAAAACAAACGTATCCTGGTTGACAACAAAATTAAAATTATGACGACTTTGCCGACTATTCAATCCGAGAATAGCGAGCAACTTCAAAGGCTGCAAACATCAATCAACAACTGTCTGTCAGTTCTTAATTCCCAAGACATCCAGACAGACGGTTGGGATCCCATATTGGTGTACATATGTTCATACAAATTGCCCGAAACCACACTGTCACTTTGGGAACAATCTCTCTCTTCTCGAAGAGATTTACCCTCATGGTCACAAATGGACGATTTTCTTACTTCATGATACGAAGTAGTCGAAAGACTTACCGGCTTCATCCAAGCCAAAATAAACAAAAACCAGTCGCACATCAAAATGCTGACGCACATCAAAATGGACGCAAACTTTTGTGGCAGAACCTAAGAGGGAAACAACTTACTCTTACTGCAAGTCCCCTCATCCCATTAGAGTATGCCCATTAAGTGAATTTCGGTACGAAACCGAGTACAATTCGCAAACCAAACCAAGCTGTGCAAAAACTGCCTTGGTAATACCCATAGCACTAATGAGTGTCCGAGCTAGTGGTCATATACACATTGCCAACAACGGCATCACGCCCTGCTGCACATGAATCCCAAACCACAATCTCGACACTCCAGTGCGCGAGCGAATGAAACCGCCGCACAACACACTACTGCCCAGTCGACACCTCCCACAAGTCAAGCTCCAATTCCAGCGAGCAACCGTGCTGTTCCAAACAAGCACAAATACAATCATTGCACACCGACAATGATAGCAAAATTCTCCTTCCAACTGCCATGGTCGCGGTTGAACACGAAGGGGAATTGTTTCAACTTAGAGCCTTGATTGATCAAGGCTCACAGAGAACTTTCATTTTCTCGAAAGTTCAGAAACGGTTGAAACTACCATTCGAACATTCCAAGTTCGAAATTTCCGGCATGGGTGGACACGTAGTACAAAGCTCCTCAAAGCTTTGTCCACTCACATTGGTTGCATCCCAAACCATGCAACGGATAAACACACAGGCTATCGTGTTACCTCAGCTCACGAGGCACATGCCTACATTCATCATTAGCCGTGAAAACTGGCAGTTATTCAAGATCCTTGAACTTGCTGACCCAAGTTGCCACATACCAGCTCAAACTGATATGGTAATCGGCAGCGATATACTTCCACAAATCCTGCTTGAAGGTATACAAAAGATTTTCGACACTATACTTGCGCAAAAAACAATATTTGGCTGGATTCTCAGTGGTCCAATAACCGAAAATGTGGTGTCATTCTCGACACAAGTAGAAGAGTGCTCGAATACAATTCTCAGCTCTCAGCTTAGAAAGTTTTGGGAAGAGGAGGAGATTCCACAACCTCCACAAATTTCACCTGAAGATCAGGCATGTGAGCATATGTATGCAACAACAACGACTCGTGCCCCAAACGGTCGATACATTGTGCGACTTCCATTCAAGGAAGAATTTCCAAAAAAGCTGTCTCTGGGCCACTCTCGGTCTGCTGCACTCCAGCAGTTTTTCAGTATGGAGCGATCGCTTCAGAAAAAAAGAGACTTAGGCACAATGTACAATAATGCGTTGCAAGAATATCTCGACCTCGGTCATATGGAGCACACGAAGCCATGCGAGATAATTTCCAATGGCAAATACTTCTCTTTCTACTTGCCACATCATGCGGTCGTCAAACCAGATAAGGTGACCACCAAAGTTCGCCTGGTATTCAACATTCAACGCCTCAAAAACATCTGGTTCAGGAAAATCCCTGAATGACGTGTTGCACACTGGTCCCACGCTCCAGCCAGATCTCATGCTGCTCATTCTGCAGTGGCGAATGCACAGATTCGTGTTCAATGGCGACATTGAAAAAATGTATCGTCAAATACTCATCCACGAGGACGATAAAGATTTTCAGCGAATCTTGTTTCCCACGTCGGCTGACTCTCCTGTCACCGATTATAATCTCAAAACCGTAAAGTTCGGCGTTAATTGTGCACTATACCTCGCTATCCGTACCCTGCATCAATTAGCAGATGATACGATAGCGACATTTCCCTTGGCTGCCACAATACTTAAAACCGAAACGTATGTGGATGACATCCTATCCGGAAGTCATGATATTGACAACGCCACTGAATCACTTTTTCAAATGATCAAAGCGCTTAAGTCAGCTGGTTTCATACTTAAGGAACTAACGGCCAATCATCCGGCCATTTTAGAAAAATTTCCAAAGGAGGATATTCTCGACTCCAACCTTTTGAAATTTGAGAGCGCTTCCACAACCAAAACTCTTGGTATAAATTGGAACGCACTTACAGATAAATTTTCCTACACCATTCTGCCTGCATCGACATCGAATGCCGTCACAAAACGACAAATCTTATCCTCTGTCGCAAAACTTTTTGACCCGGCAGGATGGCTGTCGCCGGTGATGATTCAAGCAAAGATTCTGCTTCAAGAACTTTGGCTGGATGGCGTTGATTGGGACGAATGTGCCAAACCCATAGCCTTAGCAAAATGGCATCAGTTCGCAGAAAATCTGCCAGCCGCCTGCTACATCGTAATCCCTCGATGGGTTAATTTCACTCCGGGGCAAGATACCCAAATCCACAGGTTTTGCGATGCCTCTGAAAAAGCATATTGCGCTGCGATTTACATCCGCGTAGATGCTAGCAACCAAATATATTCCACTCTCGTGGTTGCAAAAAGCAAAGTCGCACCATTGAAGACGGTAAGCTTGCCACGCCTGGACCTGTGCGGTGCAGTCTTAGGGCCGGTTACTCAATGTCTGGTTAACACTAATCTCCGGTTAAACATAGTTATCGACGTTATCGACTCCCTGTTGTATGCATGGAGTCGAAGACGTCGATAACGATGTTTAACCGCAGATTAGAGCTAAACGGACATTGAGTAACCGGCCCTGACTCGCAAAACTGGTCGCAACTGTTCGAAAACAGCTCAAATTGGAATCGTGCAACACATTCTTATGGTCAGATTCAGAGATTGTGCTAGCTTGGCTTGAAAAGCCACCATGTACATGAGTCAAACCACGCCAACTGTGTTAATGAATTTTCATTGATTTTCTGGAAAGTGAAGACAATTTTGTGAATCTGTAGATAACTATAGAACAAAAATACACTTTGGACGGTTTTTCGAAATTGCACTTCGTTCTTGTTTCTCAAGTTGTAAATAAACATAAGTTGTAAATAAACATTGATGTTTCAAGTTATACGTTAAATAATGTGCGTACTTGTATAATTATTCATTAATAAACATAAAAATGCTATCACTCAAACAAGTTTATATGAAAATAGCTATTTACTCAAGGCTTAAAGGTGAGAAAAAAATCGATAGCGACTGTCAAAATTGAAAAGACCATTTTTTTCTTTTTGGAACTTAAAAACAAGAGTTTAGAGTATATTGTGCCAAAATTTCACTGCAATCGCGGGCCTAGAATATATAAATAATTGCAATTGTTTAAATTATTGTTATTAAAGAATTAATTGTTTTGCAAATTTTATTCTGCAAATCTTTCTATTGCGAAGGGAAAAGCTTCAGCACCTCTCAAAAAAAATTTCATCAAATTTCATCAAATGGGTCGCGAGTTACGAATTTTTCTCTTAAAAATTGCAATATTCTAATAATACCAAAAAACCACAAAAACGAATTGCAATTTCGAAAAACCGACCAAAGTGTATTTTTGTTCTATAATTATCTATAGATTCCCACAATTGGCTTCACTTTTCAGAAAATCAATGAAAATTCATTGACACAGTTGGCGTGGTTTGACTCACATGGAAGACGTATGTATCCAATCGTACCTCCCAGATCCGGGAATATCTTCCAACCGGTACATGGCGCCATGTTGCCAGCCAAGACAATCCAGCCGACCTCGGCACCCGTGGTTGCAAACCGCAGGACTTGGCAAATTCCCCACTCTGGTGGCACGGACCAAAATGGCTCTCTTGCCACATGGATGCATGGCCAAGGTCAAAGGCATGCAGACCATCTTCACCAGAAAAGCGCAAGGTGGAGGTATATCACGCGCTCGAAGAAGAAGTCGATCTTCCTGATCGCACCCCGCGTGACTGCGAACATGTTCCGTTTCGTGAGCAATGCCCGCAACAAATCAAAGGGGTTAGCTATAATCCCCTATCCACAACAGAGATTGGGATTGGTAAATCTAAATTATGCCCCCCCCCTTCTCTCTCGATGAAAATGTTAATGGAATAAATAAAAGCTTTGTTGGACTGCCGAAATCGGCACACAATATATGTCTTGACAATTACTGTGTTCGTGTAGATGTTGGTACCAGTCCTTTTGAGTTTGTCTGTGTCGACGATTGTGATGTTGTGCAAGCAATAATTTCTGTGAAGTTTAATGCGGCAGGGTTCGACGGGATTTATGCCAATTTCCTAAAAATCATTCTACCCAAAATCCTGCCGCACGTAATCTATTTGGTCAACTCAATTCTGACGACTTGTATTTTCCCTAAATGCTGGAAAGCTGCCAAGGTGACCCCAGTTCACAAGCAAAATAATGATTACAGGCCTATAGCCATACTGCCTTTCTTATCTAAAGTCGTTGAGCGTATTTAACATGGGCTAATAATTTCGTATGTGCAAGATAACAAACTCCTGACAGATCATCAGTCCGGTTTCAGGCCAAAGAGAAGTTGCACAACGGCACTTTTAGACGTGATAGAAGCCATTCGAGCACGAATTGATGAAAAACAAATTGCTATCCTTGCGCTTCTTCACTATTCAAAGGACTTTGATCCTGTTGACCATGTCTTGCTATGTAAGAAGCTGGAGAACTTATTTTGCTTCTCTAGTCATGCAACCGCTCTCATTAGATCATACCTTGACGGAAGAACTCAGGCAGTAAGCATTGGCAGCAGAATTTCTGACTTCCTACCTGTAGTAAGTGCGTCCCGCAAGGCTCAATCCTGGGTCCTCTGTTATTTGTTTTGTATATAAATGACTTACCAAATGTTTTAATATATTGTAATGTCCACATTTATGCGGATGATGTTCAATTGTATGTATGCTGTCCTTCTGATCGTACTGGTGTGTGTATTAGTAACCTGAATAATGACATGGCTCATGTAGGTGAATGGGCTTCTGTGAATGGCTTATGCCTAAACCCTAACAAGTCAAAATGTATCGTCATTCATAGAAGGTCATTCAATACAAATGGCCTAGATAATGTTATATTTGACAACTCAGTTATAGAATATGTTGACACGGTAAAAAATCTTGGTGTAGTCATTAACAAAACTTTGACATGGAAAGATCAAATTTTTAGTACGGTAGGAAAAGTATATGGAATGCTTCGTACACTCTGGTTAACACAGTACTTCACTCCGTTAAACATAAGACTACTTTTAGCGAAAGCGTACTTAATACCTACGCTGCTTTATGGCTGTGAGATTTGTGCAAATTGTGACTATGTGTGCAAAAAGAAGCTAAATGTTGTCTATAACAACATTGCTAGATATGTATATGGGCTAAACAGACTTGACCACGTATCAGCACATGCTGAAAGGTTGCTTAATATTTATTTTGACAACTTGTTAAAGGTTAAAACGCTATCGACTCTACATAAAATAATATATACAAAAGAACCCTTTTATCTTTATAGAAGGCTCCATTTTCTTCAGTCATCGAGGTCAGTACTTCTAACACATACCAAATATCGAACTCTATCATCTGACCGTCAATTTTTCATCATCTCCATACGTCTTTGGAACTCACTTCCGACTAGGCTAAGGCTATTAAGTAATGCACTGTATTTTAAAAAGGAATTAATCTCTTACTATAGTAATTTATAAGTTATTCAAATTAATATTTATTTTCTTTCTTCGACCTGTTTTCTTTTCCTTTTATTGTTATTCTTCAAACCTAGTTATTAATTTCCCCAAATTTTCCTTACTTCAATATTAAATAAATTCTATTCTTTGTTCATAGACTTAGTTATATATGCAATTTAAGATTATAATATCAATCTGTAAGATTTACTTACTTTATTTTATCTTGACTGGCACTGTAAAATAATTTTGTTAAATTGTTGTGCTGGGAAAAACATCAAATAAATACAAATACATCTGACACATAACGAATTTCAATATGCAAAAATTCGTCTTATCAACGCAGCGCAATCACGCCATTTTCCGAGCGAAAAAAACGCTTTGCAAGATAAAAAGCCACTTAACAAAAAAAGTCCTCTTCTTGTTCTCAATCCTTCGTTGGACAAAGACGAACTTCTACGGGTTAATGGCCGATTAGCACATTCCACATTGAGCTATAATGAAAGGCACCCAATAATTCTCCCTACCGAATCGAGGTTCTGCCAGCTATATTGGGAGTTTTTACACTCGCTGCTTCTTCACGCAGAAACACGTTTAATGCTCCAAATGGTATGGCAAGAGTACTACGTACCAAAGCTAAAACCTCTAATTAAAAATGCATTTTTCAATGCAAAGTGTGCACGCTTTACAAGCAACAAACACGCACCCAAGTAATGGCCGCTATACCCCCTGAGCGCTGCAGTTTTTCACTCCCACTTTCCACAACTGGAGTAGATTTTGCTGGGCCATTCCAAATTAAAGCATCGGTGCTAAGATCTACAACCCTTATCAAGGGATACGTTGCAGTGTTTGTCTGTTTTTCTACAAAGGCAGTGCATCTCGAGCTATGCTCGGAGCAGCATTCGCCGCTTCGTTGGCAGACGAGGTTTCCCCTCAAAAATGATGAGCGACAATGGAAAAACGTTCATTGGCGCCCAGCATGCACCAGAACGCGACTTCGCTAAATTGCTTAACGAATGTTCCGCAGACTTTGTCAAAAAATATGCCCTTCAAGGCATAAACTGGCAATATATACCACCCAGCGCCCCCCACATGGGCGGATTGTGGGAATCTGCAGTGAAAAGCCTTAAATCCATTTAAAGAAAACCGCTGCAACCCACAAGTTTACTTTCGAAGAATTCACGATGCTTCTGGTGCTTCTTAAGACCCAGCTGATATAACAGCACTTACTCCGGGTCACTTCCTTCGAGTTGCACCGCTATTGGCCATTCCCGAGCCTAATGCGAAAGACCTCTCTCTACTAAACCGGTGGGAGAAAGTCAAAGCACTTCACCACCAATTTAGTCGCCGCTGGAAAGAAGATTACCTCAAGGATCTTCAGAAGAGATCCAAGTGGAAAACCCCACAACGCGATCCTCAGCCAGGCGACCTCGTCGTGATCAAAGAAGATTCGCTCCCCCCCACACCACATACGTGTCGTAGAAATCCGTACACAAAATGGAATTATCACGCGGCAACTTGTCAAACTGTGCTTCCTTCCAAAAGCACAATAAATAATTCTATACATATTTTCCTTCTGTATATTAAGGGTCTTAACTTCCCGTTTAAATATTGTGCCCAAGTAGTTCTCGTTTCTCTGCCTTTGCTTCTACTTGCAGATCGAAGACATCATGGCAGCACGGAAGGCATGCCCCCTGGCTCCAACGTCGGAGACAGACAACTGCCTACAATGCCGGCTCTGCCACCGGTACCACACCTTGAGGACGTGCCCGGCCTTCAAGGCAATGAAGCCGCCGCAACGGATAGGGGTAGCCCGCGCGCAAGGGTATTGCGTCAATTGCCTTGCGCTCACGCACACCACTAGTGAGTGCGATTCACCAGGCAGCTGCAAGGTTTGCGGCTTAGCGCACCATACGATGCTGGCAGCTAACAGGCAGACCAGCCGGCCCGCAGCGGCCACAAAGGACGATCGCGCGCACTCCTCAAGGCCTACAAACGGCCAATTACCAGGGCCGCACCACCCACCGCGTCCTTGGCAACAGGATCCGCGCCCTAAAAGAGCTGCAGGAGACGATCAGCAACGCATTCCTGCAGGGCGGGGACGATGTTTAAGCCCCCGCCGCTTAAACTTAATTGAGCGGCCCTGCGCGCATCCTTTGGCCGCAGCGGTGTGAACTCCGAAAGAATGATTAACGAGCGCGCACTGCAGCTTCCCATCATCGTGCCAAATCAGCGACACGTTAGTTCAGCTACCTAGTCCTAGTATTTTGTATTTGAAATCAATACGAATTTTAAATCTAGTTAAAAAATTACTGGTTTTATATACATATCATTAGATATTTATATGCTGTGAATTCAGAATTCCTCAAATAAAAGGCTTAACACTTTGTAGAATACATTTTGAACTCAAACAAAAGCATTTCTTTTAAGTGGAAAGAAAGTGTGTAAAGAGCGGAAGCAAAGTGTGTACTGTGAACAAGGTGAGTGCGAAAGGCGACCATTTGGAAATATTCACCTGCGAAAAATCTTTAATTAACCACATAACGCATTTAAAAAACCACAAAAAAAGATATCCGCCTTCGTAATATTGATATGAAAAAGAACCAAAAGCATATACAAGATTTTGTATCAGAAGATGTAAGAAACCTTACCAAATCGGTTCAGTATGCTCAATTAACATTAGTCATGTTTTGCATAGTACATAATTTTCCGTTTCTTCTTATGGATTTCCTTCCTGGTTTGCTGATGGAATGCTGTCCAGATTGCCACATAGCAGCTCAGTTAAAGTGTGGTAGGACAAAGGGCACTCAAATAGCGGGATCTTTGGCACAGAAGGCAAGCAACCATGGTGATGGCTTTACGTACAACGAAATTTTCTTTAATTGTGGATGAGACAACAGATCGTTGCCTGGGTAAGCGCAGTTTTGACGATTTTTAGTTCTAGATGCAGTTATATATTTTGAAATAAGGTCTTTCGATTGGTGCTATCAGTTTTTAAATATCTCCTTTAGTTTCCGAGATATTGACTAAAATTTGTTTGATAATTTAGTAAAAATTTAGTTAGTGATGCGGACTAATCAATATCTTAAAAAACGCTAGATCTATTGAAAATCGCATTAAAATTGTTTTATAGTCGTTTTAAAGTGCAAACTTTGAGAATATTTAATAAAAAACAACTCAGTAAGTTAATAGAGATTGTGAAAATGAGTGATAATTCTATATTATTTGGCGAAAATGTTTCGCTGACTATGAATGACGCAGGACAGCATATCGTTCTGGAAGCAACGCCTGTAGAAATTGGTGGAAATGGAGAAATCATAACGAAATCAGCTCAGTATGCAATATTAAGTGGAAATTTAGAACAGGTAAGAAATGATTTTCTATAATAGACATGTTTTTTACACGTATGTATAACTTAAAGCTGTAACAACAATGACTGATCATAATACTATGATGTAGTTTTCCTAGATTGTCCAAACTCAATCAGGAGGAGATCAGCGATTAAAAGACTTATTAAAAGAGATGAATATAGAAGCCGCTTACGACAAGTTTTATGGTAATTGTTTTATTTTTTAATAAAAATCTTTCATAATGGATAATGTTTTTACTGACCCATCTAAAGCTCCTGGAATGGCTGAAGTACATAAACTGTGACAACTTGGCGTTGGTATTTCCAGGGAACGAAAATATCGGTTATAGAGCAGAACTAAGGGAAAAAATTAGGCTTTGGAAGCACAATAACGTAATATATTTATTTATAAAGTTGTAACTACTATAATCTGTTTAAATATTAACGATTTTATTTTTAGTTTCCAGAAGAATATGTTTCGACTCTAAGTATGAACTTAAATATCAAAAATTGGATTGAAAATCAATCTCTTGACTCGCCAGCTACCAATTCCACTTCGTCTGAAGCCACGGTAACGGTTGACATGACACGGTTTACATGTCACGGTAACGTATTGGAATGATTAATAGCAGCTCATTTGATATAAATTATTTAATTAAGTTAGACTCTTAAATAAAATCCCATAATGAAAAGTATTTGGAATTGTTTCACAAACCCCTTAAACCTAAATTTAACTTTTTAAATCATTATGTGCGTGTCATAAAACAATCAGGCCCTCTTAAATACTTATGGACTTTTCGATTCGAATCTAAGCACAAGGAAGCAAAAATGTATGCAAGAAGTATTACTTCCAGAAAAAATATAACCTATAGTCTAAGCATGAAAGCATCTTTAAAGTTTGCAATATTTATAAGGGTCCATAATGACCAAACGCAATATGAACAAACTGAGCATTTTCGGATTAAAGATTGTAGGTATTCTAACAATATCGTGGATTTTCGAGATTTTGAATCTTTGTTCGCAAATAATTTAAAAGTTAAATCAGTAAACTTTAAGGGAACGACGTATAAAAAGGGCCAATTTTTAACAATAACTACTGACGAAGTCATTGAACTATATGAAATAAAAGAAATACTTATAAGTTTAAATAAGGGGGCTTACTTTCTAGCCCACAAATATGAAATTATGGGTTTCTTAGAGCACTATCAATCGTACAAAGTTGGTTGTATAAACAGTGTTATTGAATTAAAAAATGTTGAGTTTTTCACAAGCCCACCTATTCATTTGTACTACATTTACGAAGGAACTCCTGTTATAAGAAATAAGAATTTTTAGTACCTGTTTATTCATATTAAAAATATGTAAATATGTGCCTATTAATTAAAAAAAAAAATTAATAAATTTATTGAAAATAATTTCAATTTGATGAGATTTTCATTTCAAATCATAATTATTTAAATGTACTTTTAACGTTACCCTCACGTAAGTATCATTTGAAATTAACATTTTTTAAATGTAGTTTTAACGTTACTGTCACGTAAGTATCATTTCAAATTAACAATTTTTGAATGTAGTTTTAACGTTACTGTCACGTAAGTATTACATAAATATCATGTTAATTATACCTGAGTATCATATCAATAATACATGATAGCCATGTTAATTTTACGTGTTTCATGTACATAAATTTCACGTAAAAATGATAGTGTCGAAATGTTAAAATTAACATTTTTTCATTTCAGTTGCAAATTGTAAACAAAAAATGTTAACTTTACGGCGGTTTTTAGTATTTTTTTGGTTCAGTGCAGTCATTAACCGGATAATTGAGCAATGGGAGAGTTTAAGACTATATCTTATTTCGTGTTGTATCGAAGTTTCCAGCATCCGTGGAGCAGAGTTAGCAGAAGCAATGAAGGCTGAAAACAAAACTTATTTATTATTTTTGTCTTACATACTAGATATTGTAATACGCTAAATAAATAGTTTCAATCGGAGAGCGTACGTCTACCTTATTTATATAGTCAAATAGAGGGAACTTACACTCGAATTTTAGCCAATTTCATACAAAATAAGATATTGAAAAATGCTAAAACTTCTTTCGAAATTAATATTCATGATAAAAAAACTATATTGCCACTAAAGGCGTTTATATAGGAAGCAAGGCCGAAGCTTACCTAAAATCTTACCTGGATGAAGTGGAAACAATTGAAATAAAGACAAATATTATATCTTTTTATGTAGAAATTTTAGATCAAATCAGATCTCGTTTTGATTTTGAAGACGATAATTTAAAATTGTTATCAACTATCACCCCAAAAAAGGTATTGTCGGATTGTGAAGTTAGCACTTCACCGCTGCTATTGAAATTTCCAAAACTATTTAATTGCGATCCTGAAATTATAATTACACAGTGGAAACTACTCCGTGCAATGTCGAAAAATTATTTGGGCGGCATCTCAGATATTAACTCATTCTCGTCAGAAGTCAGCGTAATAAAAAACGGCATGGAAGAAATTGCATACAAAGAACTCTCAGAATTCGTTTTAAATATCCTATCACTCCCTCGCAGTTCCGCTGCAGCCGAAAGAAATTCTCGGACCTAAGTTTAATAAAGACCAAATTTAGAAATAAGTTAGAAATAACTACAGTCAATAACATTATGCTAGCCAAAGAGCTCTTGCCCAGGGAAAAAGCAAGCCATTATGTTTGATCACCCAAAGATTTATTTTAAAAATATGCCATTCGACCGAAAGGCGCATTGTAAAAACTCAGGTTCCAGCAGGTACGAGTGACCGAACCTGATTTGTGGCTCCTAGGGTTACCCTCGAGAGGTAACTTGCCATAACTTGGAAAATTATCAAATTTTCAAAGAATATATTGCACTTGTGGAAATTATAATGAAAATGAAAAATATTGGAGTTACACGACTTTTGGTTAAAAAATGATTTATAACAATTTTAAGAAACCACCAATTTTTCCCAATATGGCGGCTCGAGCACAACCCTACAGTCCCACAAATCAGGTTTTTACATCATTTTTACCTGCTGGAACAAATAGTGAAAGAAAATAATTTTACAGGACTAATTTTGCAATTAAATACGAATGTATCCCACTAATAAAACTGTAAAAGAAAATTTTATGTATTGTTTAACGATACATATACTCGCTACATATTTTAATTCATATTTTGGTTTTAAGTTATGTAAAAGGCTGTACTTTAAACAGCTTTTAAACGTTTGTAAATCGCTGAGCGATTTTTTTGTGTTATGTTTTAAAAATATATGTATGTGAATTGATATAGATTGGCGCTTACACATATGTTAGTGTTTGGCCGAGCTTCTCCTCCGACTTGTGGCGTGCGCCTGGTTGTTGTCACACAAAGCGGAGGGACCTACAGTTTTACGCCGATTCCGAACGGCGATTGTACTTTTATGAGAAGCTGTGTTTTCATGGAAGAAATACACTCGGAGATTTGCCATTGTCTACCGAGGGACGACCGCTGTTAAGAAAAAACTTTTTTCTATATTTTTTGCGATGTTGCTTTGACCAGGGCTTGAACCCAGGTGCTGATGAGTGAAAGCGCGCACTGCTTACCACTACACCATATGCTCATAAAAATTTGGTAATTTTTTTCTGGGTTTGGTAATCTTTTTTAGAGTTTTGGTAAAAAATTAAAAACTTTGTGGCAACACTGGTACACATGCTTTAGAAAACAATGATGGTACTCCTTTTCATTCACCAATGCAAGTGGAGAGTACAAATAGTTGTCAATCGGTAGCTGGCCCTGTTAACGCTGTGTATGCTAAAGAGCGAAATACACCACACAAGCGGCTTGTCAAACATTCTTCAAACCTACTTTTCCCATTTCGCCATACACCATGCAAACATGACTCGTTCAAGCAAAGAATTTTAGTTTTCTTCCAGTTCGCAATGCTAAATATTATGGTTTTCTTTCATTTTCCTCTCTTACGTCCTTACTCGGTGAAAATTTCGTTGCGAATGAGACGATTTTGCTATACACAACGCAAGCGGTTTGATCAAACATCAACATGGCGGCCAGAAAATCAAAAAATTTTGATTTTTGCTCAAATTTCCCTCAAGCGGTTTGTCAAACCTTCAAACACCCCCATACACAGCACAAATGGCTTGAAGCAAAGGGAAATTTCGCTTGGTTTGTCAAACCGCTTGTGTGGTGTATTTCGCTCTTAACACTGCGCTGGCACGCACTACAACAGGCGAAGTTAATGCTGCTGTGGCTAATGCTCCAGAAAATAAAAGCCAGTTACCCAAATCAAATGATGATGCGAAAAAGAAGAATGGTAATAGAATGAAACGTCATGTTATTGGATCCAATGTCAACTCTGAACTTCAAGTTGCTGCTCTTACTAAGTGGCTACATTTGTCGTCATTTGCGCCTTCTGTTACAGCAGATAACATTATCAATTATGTTGTTAGGCATACTGGCATAATGAAGAGTTTAGTACCTTGCTACAGTCTTGTGAAAAAAGATACTAGTACTAAGTCTTTGAAACATATAAATTATAAACTGGGTGTCCCTGAATCATGGTTTGAGAGGATGCTTAGTGCAGAGCTTTGGTCTGCAAATGTATCGGTTCGCCCTTTTCGGCGTCTTCAGCAAAAAATACCCGTGATGAATTAATTGTTTATGGCAAGCCAGTGGAGAGTACTAGTGTCGCTGCACTTCGTAAAATCAAGATATATTTCCAAAATGTTTCCGGGATGAGAACAAAAGCTGATATAGTCCGCAGATTAAGCTCCCATCTGGATTTTGATATTTTTGTCATCGTTGAGAGCTGGTTAACACCTAATTTCTTTGACTCGGAATTCTTCGACCATGAGTTATATAATGTTTATCGAAAGGACCGTGATGAAAACAGGCCTGGGCTGTCCAGAGGTGGAGGAGAACTGATTGCAGTTCAGCGTAGATTTTCCACGACACTTGTCCAACTTCAAAATAAGGATTTGATTCTCGATCAACTCTTCGTGAAGGTGCGGTGTTCCTCTGAACTTATCTTTGTCTGTGCCTCTTACATTCCGCCGAGTAGTTGCTACGACTTATATAAGACTCATGTTGACAATGTCTTGCATCTCAGCTCTGGGATTGGCGATCATCACCTCTGTGTGCTCAGTGACTTTAACTTGAGCAATGTCTCTTGGAAAAGCTTTAATAACTCCTCGTCTCTCACCCCGGTCAACGCTACTACAAACAGCGAGACATACGCAACTGATAGCTTCTTAAGTATTTGTCTACTACTGGGTGGCGCCTAATGAGCTATATGGCTTAAATTCTTTAAAACTTTTTTAATTATAATTTTTTCATTTTTTTTTTCAGAAATTTGTGAAGAAGACTTGGGCAATTAATTATGAATCATTACACGATCGAACAACGTGCACAAATAATTGAATTTTAGTTTTTAAACCAACGGTCTATTGTGTTGACACAGCGTGCATATCGTCGTCATTTTAATGTACTGCAGGATTTAGGCTACGGAAAATCCAAGAGCAGTGCATCAGGGAGAATTACACCCACTTAAGTGTACTGTTTGGTGCGGTGTATCCTCCGAAAGGATAATTGGCCCATATTTTTTTGAAAATGAAATTGGTGTCTCAATCTCTGTCAACGGTGCTGCATATCGGACGATGTTGGAAAATTTTATTAGGCCAGCTGTGGAAAACCATCCAAATTTGTGGTTTCAACAAGATGGAGCCACAGCACATTCTGCACGTGCCTCAAGGGCTTTGTTAAAGGACACATTCGGCGAACGCATTATTTCGCGCACAAGCGATTTCACTGGCCTCCACGCTCACCAGATTTAACAGCTCCTGACAGTTTTCTTTGGGGATATTTGAAAGAGTGTACGTTAACAAACCAAGAACCATTCTCCAACTCCAAACCAACATTCGAAATAAAATCATGGCAATTACACTCGAAATTCTGCGAAAAGTTATGGAAAATCTGCTAAAAAGAGCACGTATGTGCGAAGCAGAAAATGGACATCACTTACAGGATATCATTTTTCAAAGCTAATAGCAAAAAATTCCCCAATAATATACTGTATAAAAAAAAAAAATTATAATCGCATAAATAAAAAAGTTATAAACCATTTAAACCATATAGCTCATTCGGCGCCACCCTGTACAAATTAATGGTATTGTAAATAAACTTAAGCGTATTTTAGATCTAATCTTTACTAACTGTTCCTCGTGAGAGAAGCCGACCAATTTTTAATTTTAGTTCATGCAATTTTGACCTTTTGAATAACCGTCTGCAAGAATTTGATTTGTTGAACAATATGGAAGTTTATGCTGCATTTCAAGTTTTTACAAGCTGTGTATATGATGC